AGAGACATCTTTCCACTCCTTAAAGTACCCTAACAAGATATTTTCCTTAATTTTCCCAACAAAAAAAAAAAAAAAACCCCCATTGAAGAATTGCTTTTTTTACCTTTTAATTTCTTGTATGTAAACAAAGTACGTGTGTTTATAGATATAACCTAACGGTAAATCCACACATAACTCTCTTATAAGATGTAGAATTCAAATGTCCGACTCCAAATTCAAAATGGAAAAAAGAAAACACATCTTGAAACGAGCTAAAAAATTAGGCGCCAAATACAATACTCGCTAATTTATAGTCTTTATTAGAGAAAGTTACTTTATTACCGTTTTTATTTTATTTGCATTTATTTTCATAGTACTTCTTGCAAATGAATATTTTTCTTTTCCCTAATGTGTGAATGTAAATATCTTATCAACCACGTTAAATCTATTTGTTCTTTTATTATTCATTTCACTTTCTTATTTAATTATTATTCGTCTTAACCTAAAAAACGTAAAGGAAATCGTTCACATCCCTAACACCAAAGGGCACTTGCTTCTTAGTAAATCTCATATATGTGACTCATATTGTATCTACAATTAGAATATATGCTTTATCGTAAGGTCCATGCATTTAAAAAATATGGAAAGTGTTATGAATAGTAGTTGTCTATTTTAGTCAAAGTTACTATGCAAATCAGTTAAAGTTATTATTCATATCAGAATCTTATTGTGCAAATAGTAACCGTGAATAGTACTGAAACTTTTCCTATAAATAGAGCTTTAAGGCTCTTCATTTTATATATCTTCACAAGATTAATGAAACTCTCTCTAGTTTCTCTCTCTAAAGTTTTTCTTTTTAGTTTTACATTTTCTTAGTTTTCATAACACGTCATCATCACGAACGTTCTATTCGTATTGCGATTGTCTACATTCATTAATTCAAAGAAATGAGGCTCTAATCCAATTACAACCATCTACCTTAAAGTCAAAAGAAAATAGGTCCTAGTCTTAGTCCTACTACAAGTTTCTACCCTTATTAATTCAAGTGAAAGTTATCACCATGTCAACTCTTGCCAAACTGAGTTCGTTGCACTTGACTTTAGGGGAAAGAATTATATGTCTTCGATCATAGATGTAGAAATGCACCTAGAATCAATGGGTCTAACTGATACCATTAAAGAAAATAATAACAAGTCACCACAAGAAAAGGCGAAAACAATGATTTTCCTTCGTAAACATCTTGATGAAGGCTTGAAATGCGAATAGCTCACGGTTAAAGATCCACTTGTCCTTTGAAAAAGTTTAAAGGAAAGATACGACCACCAAAAAGAAGTCGTACTTCCCGCCACTCACGACGAATGGAACAATTTACGTTTCTAAGATTTTAAGAAAGTTAACGACTACAAGTTTGCCATGTTTAGAATTGTTTCGCAACTGAAATTTTGTGGAGCAAATATCAGAGATGGTGAAATGTTAGAGAAAACCTACTCCACTTTCCATGCATCTCACATTATCTTGCAACAACAATACCGTTTGCGCGGTTATAAGAAATTTTATTAGATAAACTCAGCTCTTCTTGTGGCAGAGAAAAATAATGAATTGTTGATTAAAAAAGATTAGTCTCGTCCCACTGGTTAAGCAACATTTCTAAAAGCTAATGCTGCATTCTGTAAAAATCTGGGACGGGGGCAAAATCGTGGTCATGGACGTGATTATGGTCGAGGTCGTGGACGTGATTGTGGTCGAGGCTGTGGTCGAGGACGTGGTAGAAGTGGTTATTACAACCTTTCACAAAATGACGTGACCCAGAAGAAGCGTCATGACAAAAGAAAAAATGCTTATGCAAGTTGTTCCCAAAATCTTGAAAATTCCTATTATAGATGCAGTACTAAAGGATATTGGTCTAGAATTTGTCTAACACCAAAACATCTTTGTAAACTTTACAAGGCATCCTTGAAGGAGAAAGAACATGAAGTAAATTTTAATGAATACCATGATCCTATAAATGTCTCAACCCATCTTCATGTCTCAGACTTCACTGATGACTTTACAGATAAGACTATTGGTGATAACTAGATAGATATATTGTGCTCTTATGTATTTGCATTGCATTTTGTTTTTGTATTGGATTTGTTCTATGTATGTTGTACTTCTTTACATAAAATCATATGTTATGTGTATTCTTAAAATTCATGAAATTGTTATGATATTGTTATTATTTTTGTGTGAAGCTTAATATGGCTGGAGCTAAGTTCAAAGTTAATACCAAGGATATATGTATTCCAGATAGTGGTACAATGCATACTATCCTAAAATCTGAAAAGTACTTCTCTGATTTAAAACCAGTAAAGACAATAATCAATACAATATCAGGTCCTGTACATCAAATGGAAAGATGTCATATAGGCTGAGTTAAATTCGCTTAATAAGCGTAAAGTTTTTGGAAATATTGTCTCAATGCCTGAAGCCATCAGGCTTATGGGATACAAATGGGTTTTGTTCGAAAACGCAATGAGAAAAATAAATTTGTAAGGTATAAAGCTTGACTTGTTGCATAAAGTTTTTTACAATGACCGGAGATTGATTATGAAGAAACGTATTCTCCTGTAATAGATGCAACTTATTTATACGGATCGCTTGATATTGATATTTATATGAAAATGTTTTATGAATTTAAGATGCCTGAAGTACTAAATTCAAAACCTAAAGATATACGTTTGATTAAGTTACAAAAATCATTATATGGGTTGAAGCAATCCGAACACATATGGTAAAATCGCTTAAGCGAATATTTATTAAAAGAAGGATATGTGAATAATCTTATATGCCCACGTATTTTTATTAAGAGAACAAGATATGGTTTTGTTATAATCATTGTCTATGTTGATGATTTGAACATCATTAGAACTCATAAAGAAATTCAAGAAGTTGTGATATACTTAATAGATGAATTTGAAATGAAAGATGTTAGAAAAATGAAATATTGTCTTAGTTTACATATTGAGCACCTTCAAAGTGGAATACTTGTACATCAATCAAACTATACTAAAATGGTCTTAAAATAATTTAATATGGATAAAGCAAACTCTTTAAGTATTCCAATGATTGTTAGATCACTTAATGTTGAAAATGATCCATTTCGCCCTTGCGAAGGTAATGAAGAAGTCTTTGGTCCTAAAGTACCATATTAAGTGCAATAGGAGCTCTTATGCATCTTGCTAATTGTACCCGACTAGATATAGCTTTTGTTACTAATATATTATCAAGATTTAGCTCATCTCCTACGTGAAGGCATTGGAACGGAATTAAGCATATATTCTGTTATCTTCAAGGAACATTTGATTTGGGATTATTTTATCCTAACAGATCAAAACAAGGGATGATTGGTTTTGCAGATGCAGGATATTTGTCAGATCCACATAAAGTCAGGTCCCAAACTGGATATGTGTTCACATGTGGAGGTACTGTTGTTTCATGGCGTTCACAAAAGAAAACACTTGTTGTCATTTCTTCAAATCATACCGGAGTTATTACACTCCATGAAGCAAGTCGAGACTGTGTATGGCTGAGGTCTATGACTCAACATATCCAAGAAACTTGCGGACTATCTATCAGTAAAGATCCAACAGTATTATTTGAAGACAATGCAGCATGTGTCGCTCAAATAAAGGAAGGTTACGTCAAAAATGACATATTCAATACATTCAATCAAGTAACAATGCAACATATCTTTTCACAAAAGGCACTTCCCATTACAGTATTCAGAAAGCATATCCATAGTATCAGAATGCGTCATCTTTGAGATTCATGAAGAAGGCCTATACATGTCAACTTGAGGAGGAGTTTATGTGGTTGTACTCCTTTTCCCTTATTATGGTTTTATCCCATTGGGTTTTACTAATGCGGTTTTTAATGAAGCAACATAAACACGTATAGATAAATGATGTACTCTTTTTTCTTTTGTTATGGTTTTTATCCCACTAGGTTTTTCCTAACAAGGTTTTTAAATGAGGCATCATGAATGGTGAACATCTAAGGGGGAGTGTTATGAATAGTAACTATCATCCTCAGTCAAAGTTACCATGCAAGGTAGTTAAAATTACTGTTCATGTCAAAATCTTACTGTACAAATAATAATCATAAATAGTAAATACTATGCAAATAGTAACCGTGAATAATGTCAAAAATTTTCCTATAAATAAAACTCTAAGACTCTTTATTTTATATATCTTTATAAGATTAATAAAACTCTCTCTAATTTCTCCCTCTAAAGTTTATTTTTTAGTTTTGTATTTTCTTAATTTTCATAATAGAAAGAACAATTTATTGTCTTTTTTTTTTTTTATGTAGTAACCTCTGAATTTGGAATTTGTGGCATTACATGCCCTATCTTTCGGGGGGACTCCACTGGATCAATGTAATACTAGAGACATTTTCAATGTCACAATCTAGGAAAACTAGGCAGATAACAACACATATTCACCGAATATCATCCAAAAGAATTTAATTAGATCAATCCGTTTCTCTCTCCAACTTTTACTATTCAAGCATTCTTACTTTTTTGGCCTTTTTTTTTTTTTGGATTCTAGAAGAGCGAGATAAAAGTTTATAATATTTTCCCTGAAAGAAAGGGTGCAACAGAATAAGAATTCATAACGAGTACATAACTGGAACCAATCCCAATACACCCACTACACCACCAACTATTAATTAGAAGAATATTATTCGTCGTCAATGAATTTTCTCACCAAGTTAAATAAAGCTCGTCCAAGTCAACATGAAGTAAAAGCATATTAAAAACCCATAATAAATATCTAAAACGTAGATTAACAAGGGAAAAAACACACGCATAAAGTTAATAATTTAAACGGATTTACGATTCCATGAAAATTCTCGGACTTCCTAGACGCCGGAGATCAAGAGGGATGATAAGATTGCTGTACATTCTCCAACTGCAGAATAACACGATCTAATCGGAAAAATACAGATGGATTAGCGTTCCTAATCTTTCCATAAACTACTGATTAACATATAATAACTATGGATTAGTGTATTTACTCAGTTTTTCACTGACAGACAGTGAGAGCCATATAACGCTCTGTTTTTCGCTCTTCCTTGTACTCTTCTCTCTGAATCCATTTTTGAGCAGCGATGAAAGCTTCAATGGTGCGATTGAATTCCTCATTGCTCAGTTGGTTCACTTTTCTCGATTTCTTCGCTTCTTCTTCGCCGCAAGACGTCAGTTTCCGATATACGTCCGTGTACGATCGCCGGAATTCTCTCTGTGACTGATCCATCCTTTTCCGTTCAAACCTCACCGATTGAGTCCTCTCATAACTCTTCACCAACGCCTTTTCGTTGTTCGTACAATCACAATCCGAAACTTCCGGTTTTTTGGGGTTCCGCTTCGCGTCGTTTCGGTTCTCGACAGGAGTTGAAGCGTCGGCATTCTCGGACGAGACGGTTTTCTCCTCGGCCGGACAGGTTTCCGGCGGCGGCGAGTCGTTGACGGCTGGAATTCGTCGAACAGACTCACTGTTGGTGACGAACTCGTCGTACAAGTCCGGTTGTTCGGATCCGGCGTCGTTTGAGATATGAATTTTTCCGGAGAGAGCATAGACGGCGACGATTATGGCGTTGAAGAGCGCGAAGACGAAGAGGTGGCTTCGGAAGACGGAGACGATCTCGCGGAGAAGATCGCCGGAGAATTCGCCGGCGATGGGAAGCCAATAGGCAGATGAGTGAGCGAGGAGGAAGAGTACGGCACAGGCTTCGAGAAACCACTTGAATTTTCGCTCGCGGCGGGATTTTCTGATGGCGAGGTCTTTCTCGGCCTTGACGTTGTCGATTTCGTGAGATTCCATGGTGGTTTCCAAGAAAAACCGGTAAATATTTTTGAAATTGTTGTTATCGGTTAAGCGAAGGGAAACGGCTCGCAATACGGAAAGCATGGTTTGTCCGTACACAGAGGAGGGATTTGGAAGAATGTGTTAATGGCAAGGAAGTGAGAAGTTTCGGCTGATTATCAAAAAGGGGAAAAAAAGAGAGAGAGAGAGAGAGAAATGGAAGATTTTGTGAGAAAAAGGGAAGGAGTGAGAGACAGACAGCTCTGGTTTTTTTTTTTGGTTAATTCAAAGAGTGTCTTTGTTGGGGTCGTCTTGAATTGGATGGTTTTGAAAGAGGGAAAATGAATATTTCTACACGGATATGGGGGTCTCCTTATATAGAGATTGGGAGGGTTAATTAATCACTAAGTCCCATGCCTATTAGCAAAATTAAATAGTAATAGTACTAATTATAATTTTATCAATTTAATAATGTTAATAATTTGTCACTCCCATGCACATGCTGAATTTTTTTTTTTTCTTAAAGTTGTTCCCTTTAACAATATTCATCTTTTAAATTCCTGTTGCTTTAACAATCAAGTTCGTTTCTGACAACTATTGCTATTTGAGAATGCAACTATGACACGAGAAAATATATTCTTACGTTTTCTAACATTCATAGTATTATGTTTTCTAAAAAATATATATATTATGACATAGTATAGCTAGTTCATTCGTAAACTGTGATTAAGAAGAAAAAAAACGATCGTATGTATAGTTTTAATTTAAGGAAAATTTTCACAAAACAATAGTAATAATAATAAGGAAACAAATTGAAAAGAAATCGTAGTGTACTGTTGACTAAAGCGTATATAAAAAGCAACAACAACGATGAAGAGTACTAAAAATATTGTAATATTTGTTTGAAAAAGAAAGAAGAAGAATATATACTGTATTTATTATGACATAATCAATATTTATTTACCTCTTTCGTGGGCATCACCAAGAAGAGACACAACGCATGTATTATTTTTAAAAAAAAAATAAGGATAAGAAAATCTACAATATAATCACGTTCTGGCGTCAAAATTGACAAACTATCAGAAGAATCAAGCAACAAACTTTAATGTTTTATCCTAAAATAAAGAACAAATCAGTAGTCAATTTTCTTTTTTATTTCAATTTGTAAGCCATCAATATCACCAAGGCTAATATAAGAGAATATAAGAAGAAAACAACCCTGTAATATAATAATGAGATGGGTAAGTGAAGCTGTGCGCAAGGACCGGACACCGGAACAGCGACCCCCACGCGTGGGTTGGCAAATTCGCTGATTGCAGGCCCCCAAGGGACACCCACCTACGACCGCCTACGTGGCATATTCTCTTCGACTATTTCTCTTCTTTTTTTTTTTTTTTCTGTTTTCTATTTTTTTTTTAATTTTATCCTTTTTTTGGATAAATAAAAGATTGTCCTTTTTCTTGTACATTTTTCACATCCTGAAACCAATTAACTGTGGGTACATTTGTCCCAGCTGTCTCTCTCTTAATTATCCCAATATTCTAAAAGTACTAGACATGTGACTTTCTTCTCTTTTCTTTAGACAAAGAAGTCATGGTGAACTAATTCTCTTGGTTCAACAAAAAAACAAAAACATCTTAAATTAAAATGAGTTGGAACCCAACGAGTAGATTGATTCATATGTTAGTTTCTGGGCAACATATTATTTTGTATGTACCAACAGATCCAAATTGGGCAACAATGGAAGTTGTCCATCACAAAATTTAGTTTAGTAAAATCTTGAAGCTTTTTATAGCAATTTGAAGAGCTAGGAAAATTTTGTAAAGATGGTTCTGGTATTTTTATATTCCAGTTTGGTTTTTGCCAGTACAAAATTGTCAGGAATAACAAATTTCATGTTGATCATTATAATGTGCATTGATTGATACTCTAGTTACTTCTTCAGCTCCTGTTAGTATAACACAAAAGTATATATTATTGCAATGCATGGTGTCATGGGAATTTCATGAGATCTCAGGAGAGAAATAGTAAAAAGAAAGAAAGAAGCTGTAGAAAAGTTCAAATAAAGGATCAACAAAAGTCTGATACCAACGTGAAATCTTGTAATGAATTAGTCGTGGAAGACGATGAAACCCATGAAACATTGATTGATTGAAGAAAGAAAAGCAAATAAAACCAACCCCGCCAGTGACCAGACAGACATGCATGTCTGCCTATTCGATCCTAAAGTAACAAGAAACAGTTGTACTAGTTTTAGCAGGACACAGGATTTCACGTGAGGCCCTGAGTCCCTCTTCTTTTTAATAAGTCTACCAAAAGCAATTTGACAGAGTTTTTTTTTTTTTTTTTTTTTTTTTTTTTTTTTTTTTTCATATCATGTTTACCAACTTAGGTTTTCTTTTCTAGGAATGGCTCCAAACATTTTGTTCTGTCGTACACACCAAAGAAAAGATCACTTGGGGCCGTGCTATAAATGTACACACAAATTGTCCTTTCACAAATTAAGTTCAATTGATTATTTCTCCTTTGGTATTTGATTAGCACCAATTAACTGAAACACCATAATTAGTTCCAAAACTTTTTCCAAGAAAGAAAAATGTAAAAATTAGTTACTATTAGAAACCAAAGTTGTGTAATTTTTGGGGATTAAATTTCATTCTCCAATCAACGACTTCCACGTGATTTTCGAACGGCCAAGGGGCTGTTCTTTTGTCCTTTTTGAGTTAGGTGACTTGAATGTAGATTTTGAGTTGAGTTTGAGTTATAACTTGAGTTGAAGTTGTAACTTGAGTTTGTGTTTGGTTGTGTACATTTGAGTTATGATTTGAGATAAGAATCTTTTTGAGTTTGTGTTTGACTGAGTCAAAACTTGAATTTGTATTTAGATAGTATTTTAATAAAAACTCAATGCTAATGGAAAATTTTAATAGGGTATATAGGTGAGATTTTATTCATCTTTTCGTTGTCAGTGCATAGAAAAAAAATCATCTCAATCAGAATTAAAACGAAAAAGTTATAGCATGTTTAAGAATAGAAAAAATATTGTTCATTAATTTGAGTTCGAGTTTTTGAACTCGAGTTGAAAGGGAAACTTAAACTCGAGTTTTAGTCTTAAACTCGAGTTCAAACTTAAAAGAACATGAACTTGAATAAAGTTATAACTCGAGTTGTTTTTTTTAAATTTTTGACTCAAAAAAGGGCTGCCGAACAGTCCCAAATCAGTCGGCGGCAAGCCCAATCATTGAGAGAAGGAACCTCACCCCAAGCGAGCAGATAAGTGTCCTCCTTGGTCTGCTCGACCATGTTGAGCACAAGGGTTCGAAAATTTGACATTGAGATAGGATGTTCATTTTCTCATAGTCACGCTTTTTTATTTTCTCTTGCTTTCACTATTTGGCTAATTTGAGATAATTTGTGCTTATATTTTTAAGTAGTAAAGATACGCATAAAGTAGAGCTTTTTAATTAGTATTTGGATAGTGTTTGAAAAAATATTTTTATATTTAAAAAGAACTTTTAAACTTGTTTGAATAAAAAAAATCAAAAGCACTTCTTGTTATCTAAAATAATGTAATAAAATGATGTGGATGAAATATTTTATTTGTTGTTCACAAATAAAATGTTAAAAATGTAAATAAAATTTTTTTTCATAAGCACCAAAGAGATGGATTGTTCCAAAAGTGTTTAAAAAAGTTAAAAGCACTTTAAGTTAACCATCTAAACAGGTTTAAAAATGACTTTTAGACTAAATAAGTTAAAAACAGCTTTTATTAGGCCAATCCAAACGGGCCCTAAGCACTATATTGACTTAAGCATAAGGACATTCCGACAACTCTTTGCAGGCTTTCCTTTATTTGAAGCTCACCATTGGAATCAAGAGGGAAAACAACAGTGATCAGCAACCCATTCTTATTTTTGATTGACCGTAGACTTCCGCTGTCTAATTATTCTACCTACCTTTTACCCCATCCCTCATCCTTTGCGTCTTAAATGAAGCAAAATGAAGGTCCGTTTGGATTGTAGGTTTGAGGCTCGTTTAGTTCGTTGATTCGAGTTTTTAATTCGAATTGAGATGTGACTTTATGCTAAAACTTTCGACTGTAGTAAAAAAATTAGATGTAACTATTTCTGAAAATGTTTTACTATAATAAAACTCAAATGTTAAACTCGAATCGTAAAATGAACAGGGTTTAAACTCTTTTTATTTAAACAATAAAGTCTGAAAAGTATGGTTTGGACTTACAACTCGAACTAAATAAAAAGGTGTGCGTGTGCGTCGGGGTGGGCAAAAATTTTACATCTTCAAATTGGCTCATGGGTTCAAACTGGTTGAACCTGAACTCATGAGCCAAATCTTTGTCTTCCTAACTCCATCAATTCCAATCCTTCAAACGTTTTGATTTTTCAAATTGAAACTTTATATTTTACCATAATGAAGGGAATGATAAGCCTTAAAAAGTGAGGGAAAAGAGTAATAATGTAGATCAAGCTTTTGGCTTCCATGATAAAGGGAGTGATTAGTTTTAGGTAAAGGTGATTGATTCTTAAAATTAAATTGTCACTTGGAGAAAAGGTTAGAATGGGATGGGTCCCAAGAAAATGAAAAGGTAATAATAATGCATCTCCGGGGTTTACCTGGAAAGCTTATCCAACGAAATCTGGCGATTATAAACCTCTTTTGAGCCAACATATCAAAGAAGTTTTACTGTTTTAATCTTAATCATGTCACTTGAAATCATATTGCCTGCCACTAATGCTATCGCTACTATTTTGTATGTTTAGTGCAAACCCCACGCGAAGATTCCCATCTTTTTCAAGAGTATCGAAGTTTTAATTAAAGAAAAAAGTAGCTCTTTTTTTTTTTCACTTTTGGGCCGTCCAAATCTCAAATATTTACTGAAACGAAATGTAACAAAATTAGTCAGTACTCATTATGGCAAATATATCGATACATGTACTAAAGGCCTCGGCATTAATTAGTTATCTCAAGTTCGAAACTATTTCTTACATGACAATTGATAAAAAGGCTTATAACTGGAAGAAAACATTGTAGAATCAAAATTAGCTCTCCAAATTCAATCCCTCGTAGTAAACATATATCTTGCTAGTAATGGTTTGTTTCTAATCTCAATTATCGAGGTCTAAATTGACTTATGCCACCACCATGGTACGGTGCAATAATTATCTAGTATGTCTTTTTTTCTTCTTCTTCTTTTTTCAAGATGATTAAGGTTCAATTTCACAACTCTACTTTAAGGTTCCAACTCGGTCAATACGTTGTGTGGAACTGTGGCGCTAATCTTATAGTATGGTAGGAGTAAAACCAAG